GATATGCCATGCTATCATACGAATGATTGTCATTCGTATGATAGCATGGCATATCCCCGAATGACACGATGCAGCACTACGTGCTGCCAACGATGACGAAGTCTCATCAATACCGTGTGCGGAAGAGTGCGAAGCCACAGAGAACAAGGAAAGGGGAGGGGAAGGCAGGGTCGGATTTAGTCTTGCGGGGTGATCTTGATGTTTTCTTGTGAGTTTAAGTTTTTGATGACCAGCTAGGAACTACTCCCATTGAGAAGCTTCCCATGGCACCGCTGGCAGAATCCCGTGTGCGGCACCCCTTCCTGGCAAGATTTCCACAAAGGACCGCACCGAAATTTGGCAATCGCAGCATTGACGAACGTGGTCAACATATCGGCTTAGGGTTTAGGAGTATTCGCGCATGGGGCATGGGCCACTGTTACGAGGGAGGCTGCAATCAGCGCTGAGCTCGTCGCGCAAATGCGATGCAAGTGTCCGGCCTGGTCAGAAGAGGCTTGCAGACTCTATCGGAGCGGTGCGCATGTTCATTTCCAAGTTCATCTCATTTAGGTTGGTTGATGTTCCGGGGACAAGGAAATACGGTCGAAGAGAGAGCGAAGCTCGGCGTACGTAACGGACGCCCGCTGCGACCGAGAGAGAAAGAGAGATGTGATAGTAGTAGTAGTAGTAGTAGTAGTAGTAGTACTAGTAGAAGTAGTGGTAGTAGTAGCAATCGAAACGACAGCGAAAAGGGATTTACGACAAGTAGCCACACGTCGCAAGTTCCAAGCCCTGATGCCAGATCAGCAATCAGCAAAAATGTGGTTTCGCGGCAAGGGCGTGTCTGTGTGCAAACGTCCTGCCTTGTCTAACCATAGTCTTGACACAACGATACATACAAATACAGCAAGACTTCAAACCCGAAGCCCAGCTCATATGTCAACAACTGTGAAGTAGGAGCCAGTGCATCACCTTTGTTGATCTGAAGCATACGAGTGCACTGAAGCTTTCTGTACTTTCTTGGAACCCAACTCACAGCAAACTCTTGTAGAACGCGACCCCAGGAAACTCCGCGTAGAGGTGACCTAAGGGGTTTGAAGCGGACCAACAAGGCCCGGGCAGGAATGGGCGCCAACCTCGGAACAGGGCTCAATGAGGCTGTGACATCTGCATTTTACACTGTCTTATGAAGGTTAGGGAGTTGAAGATCCTGTGATAACGGAGCTTACTGTGGTTTAGAGAATAGCCCTCTACTACAAGCGTTCTTCAATGTTTGCCAAAGGTCTTGCACTCACAGTTGTCATGTGCAGAGACGGCAGCCGTGAATGCTACAAACAACTAAGCTGACCATATTACTGTCGGTCAAGCAAGCTTTGCAGTAGCAGCAGGAAGAGTCACAGCAAACATGCGAACCAAAACGAGACTCCCAGTGATAACATCCTGATAACAAGCTACTGTATGTAACAGGACCTTGGCCTGTGGTCTATGCTGGGTCTACGACTAGACGCAAGCTGCTGAACTGGGAGCAATAACGCCTGCCAAATTCAAGCCGAAAGAAGTAAAGATAAGACATACCCTAAACCCTAAACCCTAAACCCTTAAGAGTGGGTAACAGCATCGGACGCATGGCCTGACTACAGCCTTCTGCCAAACGAAAACTCATGAACATCGAACCCTAAACCCTAAACCCCTAAACCCTGACAACTGACTGGAACTTGCAAGCAGCTCCCCTTCACACTTAAGTTTAAGTCTAGTCTCGAAACACTGAACAGCCAGAGGCCCTTTTCTTTGCAGAATGCCGCTTCGCTACTGCGCCCACTGCATCTTCAGCCGACAGTCTTTGGTCAGCTGCAGCTCTGGGGCATGCCGGAAGATACGAATCTTCCTCATTCCAAGAAACATAATCAGAACAAGGACGAGAGTGGGCAAACAACAGCCCACTTTCCCACGATGGGAAAACCGAAACCTACTTAAACTTGACGTTTTTTATCCCGCTGACCCTGCTGAAGTCAACTTCCAAGTATGGGATACTTGAACAGCTTACACACCAAACGCGATATTCTGTATTCTATGTACGTACATACATGCATACATACATACATACATGCATACGTACATACACATGACATATACCACCATCTGACCACTCACTCCTCGTCTGCATCCTCATCGTCCTGACGGGCCTCGATTGGGTTCTGCTACCTTTGAGCACCCTTCTACCTGACACAGCTTTTGTTCAAGACATCAGAGTCTAGGTTTTGGGTTTAGGGTTTAGGGTTTAGAGTTATAGGGCCACAGGAATTGCAGACTCAGGATTCTGGGGTTCACCTTTGCAGATTTAGGACTCAGGAAGTGGGGTTAGACTCGTGGAGACGCAGAACACGGGACATGTAAGCAGACCGATCCTCTCTCTGAAGCCCTAGATGCCAGGACTTGCTGGCCGTACCCATACGAAACCCTGATACAAACGCGAAGGAAACCCGAATTAAGTCCCTAAAAATAGGGATCCTACCACTCCAGGTTGCTGAACCCTGAGAGTGAGAGCAAAGGCGGCTCAAACCCAAGGTACTTCCTAGAGTCCTAGACCCGGGCGTGCTGAAACTTCGAACACTCTCAAGTCCTCCCTCCAGCCAAGCAGCCTTCGGCCCTAGATGGAACTGGGGTTATGGCTAGGGCTTAGGGTTTTGGTTGTTAGGGTTTTGGGCTCAGGCTGTTGGGTAAAGGGTTGTGGCTCTACTTACTTTCGGAGAAACAAGCTATACAGCCTAAACACTGCATGCTGCACCCTCAAACTAAACCCCTGCTGGCCAGACTCTGATATCCGACAAGCCCTAAATCCTGGAATCTGATCTCCCTTCTCTGCATCTGGTCTGCACCGGCTGCCCTAAACCTGAAACTCTGGAACCCCAAACCTGGTTTAGCCTAAACTCCACCATAAACCCTTAAACCCTAATCCCTAAACCCTAACCCTTTTTGAACCCAGTCTCGGCCTAAACCCTAACCCTGAACCCTAATCCGTTTTTGAACCCAGACTCTGCCTAAACCCTAACCCTGAACCCTAAACCGTAAAACCCTTTTAGCCTAAACTCCACCAGCAAGGGGCCGCTTGCAGGTAAGCAGTGCAAGCCGCCATGGCATAGAAGATGAGGGCACCTCAGCTTCGAGCTTCGCGGCCGTAGGCCTTCTGGGGTAGGGTTTAGGGTATAGGGTTTAGGGTTTAGGGTTTAGGGTTTAGGGTTTAGGGTTTAGGGTTTCAGGACTCAGGGCACAAGGAACAAGGCATTTGGGATTTGGGGCTGAGGCTACAGGGGTCTACAGTGTAACGTTTTTGGAGTTTGGGGTTTCAGCGGTATCCCTAAACCCCTGAACCCTCAACCCGAAGAAACCTGAACCCTAAAACCAGGAAATCCTAAACAGGTGCTGCTATGAACGGGAGCTTGGCTTGGGAGCTTTAGAGAGCTTCAGTGTAGTATGCCACACGAAGTAGGTAGGACGTTATGTCTCTGACTCACAGTTTTACAAAGGCTGTCAAAGTTTTGCAAAGGAGCACTGGCAGGTTTCGCAGGAGTGCTGCTAGGTCTCGATACCCGCACAGGCAGTGTTTGGATGTTGCGGGCTTTATGCATTTCTTGGGATTACCCATAGGCTCGATTGTAGTTCCTTTTTGGGATTACCTTATAAGATCCTAAATAGAAACCACAAAAGGGAGCTGCAATGGAGCCCATGGGTGTTTAGCACATCTCTGACAGGATGCTTGTGGAACCTTCAGAAATGTCGCCGCGCTTTTCTGCTACGCCGGGTGCAGGCTTGAACGCAACTTACCGTGTCTTTGCCCTTCGGAAAGGATCGAAGATATTCGGATTCCATAAACCAAGCTGAAACTGAGAGAAACCAAGACGTTGTGGGCGTTGACGTTGTGGGCAGTCTGACCCTGACCGTATGAAACCTGGCAACTGAAGCAATGTTGATTTGCATGCTGCTCCAAAACCCGCAGAACAGCAACACCCTCTGTTTGCTGTGCCATAACTTCTTGGAGAATGAAGGTTTCCAATAATAGGGGACCCTAATATAGTAACTTAAATGGTAGGATCCTTATTATAAAAATCCCGAATGCATCTAAGCAGCCGATGGTAACAGTGTGGTATCCCCGCACCAGCCTCAAAAGCCAGCAATGCGTAACGATGAGCCCCGTGACGCCCCGTGTCATTCGAGGAACCGAGATGTTTGTTTGCGTCCTCTCTCCACGCAGATTTCCAAGACTAAAAGCGACGTCCGACTGTGAACAGGTCTGTGCTGTGCATCTGTCTGACAGAAAACCTTTCACCACAACCCAAGCCCTAAATGCTGCATATCTCAAGTCTTACATGCATTCGTCATCCCTGCGCTCCCAAATCGAATCAGCTAGCAAGATCATATTGCCAAGACACCACAACTTTTTCTACTGCTAACTGCTAACCTGGATAGCATCTAGTAAACCCTGTCACTTGAATTGAGGGGACCTAAATACCTTAGACATCTTTAGACCCTAAACCCACACAAAGCCTTTTGCAACAGGCTTTCCACTTCGCCCGGAGTTGGAGCAAGCAGCCCTAACCCACACAAAGCCTAAACCCTAAACACTAAACCGCCCTAAATCCGCACAAAGCCAACTGCCAGGCCAGTCTCCCAATGCGGTCGATCACGGCTCCACCCAGCAAAGGGATCAACAGCTTTGCCAGATTCTGCCTGGAAACCCGGACACTAAGAGCTGGCTTGCCCACTGCCTCCAACTATGCATTCAAACTCAGGTGTGGTGTCGTGCTGTCGTGTGCAGGCGCAAACGGAGAATTAGCTGTGCAGAATCAGAAGCTTGGATGGATATAGTTGCTGTTCCAGAACTACAGTATTGAATGTCTTGAGCATCGGCGCTCCTGACCTCGACCGCCGCCGCTAGTGAGTACTTGCATCAAAGGTCTAAGCAAGCATATATGAAACTGATGCCAAGCATACGCAAAAAGGCTTTTGGATGCAAGCCAGGTGGCGCAGCGAATTGGGTGGCCGAGGCAAAGTGCTTCGCTTCTGGGACGCAAGACACCGCCTGGCTACCAAACAGCCCGTCAACTGCACTCCCATTTGACGTGGCGAAGTGTTCGTGCACATGTGATTCGGCACAGGTCTGCGCCACAGTCGTAAGCATGTGAGCGTGAGTGCCTGTGTGCCTCTATCTGTCTCGCTCTCTCAGTCTGTCCTTCTGTCTGTCCGTCGTTCTGTTTGCCTGTCATATTGATATGCATACTCGAAACTACTGAATGACGTTATTCAGGAGCAAGCTGTCCGAACTTAGAGTCTCATGCTGAGCTGCCTCAACCTTGAAGCCTCTGCCTAAGGAAGTCGGGTGGGCTGTGCCAGTGGATGCTGTCACAACCCAAATTTCCTGTTAAGATTACAGTGTCCAAGTCTCCAACCTAACCCAAATCCAGCCACAAAGATTAGATGGTATGTGCACTGAGCATCTAAGCTCAGAAACTTGTCATTACACTTCATTCGCAGACATTTGGCGGGAGGTGTTTCAACTCTTTTCGGAACTTGGCATAAGGCTCATAAAAGCTGTATACAAGTGATAGAAGAGCCGGCACTGCTTCGTCGAGGATACATTCTGGGTACTTTCGGGTCTGGCGCGGTGCAATGGACCGAGCATAAAACAGCGAGGCGACCGGAACTTGTTCCGTCACAGTCCGAGGGCTGTAGCATGCTTGCACAGCCGACACTCAATGAAGCCAGTGAGACAAGCTAGAGGAACATCAGATGCAAGCGTAGTTTGCAGCAATTGAGAAGCCGCAGGCCTTTCCTCTTCAGGAAAGCCCAAACTGAAACGGGACAACTCTCAACCCCACAGTGATACAACCGTAAACCTTGAACCCTGAACTAACAGTAGAGCCCTTAAGCCCTCCAACCCGAAACTAAACATCGATCTGGGGGTTTCCGAAAATGGGGATCCTATAATATAGTGCCCTAAATAGTAGGATCCTTATTATAAAGACCCCAAAATAAGGTACCCCTTATTTTCGGAAACTCCGATCTCCGAGCGGCGATGCCATTGATCGCGGCCGTCGGTGCTGCCCCGAAGAGCAGCAAACCAAGGTTGGCAGCACCGTAAATCACAGGCGAGGAGCCTGGCTTCCATTTGTTTTTGTTTTGGTTTAGGGTTTAGGGTTTAGGGTTTAGGGTTGTTGTTTCCTTGGTTTTTGTTTCTGGTTTTGTTGCTCACTATGACATTGGAGCACAAAGATGCTCAACAAGTGCAACATTCCAAAGAGTCTGTTGAACGCGTTTGGGTTCAAGTTCAGGGTGTGGTGCAGCGCTATGCGGACCACCAGGTGGAATCCTGAAATCTTCGAGACTCGAGGTGGGAGGAAGGAAGCCCAAGGAAGTCTTCAATCATCTGCGTGTTTAGGGTGGGTTTGGGGTTTAGGGTTTAGGGTGTAGGGTTTAGGGTTTAGGATCCCCTAAACCCCAAGCCCTAAACCCCTACATCCGAAAGCCCTACACTCCAAACCTCAACCTGGAAGCCTGAAGAAAAGCGGCCGAAAGCCGTGGAGAGGAGCCGACATCCCGCTTCGGGGAGTAAGGTTTAGGGATATGGGTGGTTGTCTGACTTAGGGTTTCGGGTACCCTAAACCGTAAACAATTTTAAGGCCACAAAATAATACGGCACCCTGATGAAAAGACCCTCTAGAAGGGACCCTCATTTTGAGAACTACACAGACTACACATATGTTTGCCGGACCTTAGCAGAAAGACTTATACATACAAACATATCCCGCACCCTCCCACGAGTCTCGGTAGGCCCCGTCCTGCCAGTGGTAGGCAACAGCCGCTGAGAAGGCTAAGAATAGCGCAGACCGCCTGCGTTGGAAAGTGCTCGCCAGATTAGATTCGGCTATAAGGGTTGGAGTTTGGCAATTTGTTTCGTTTGAAGAACATGGGGTGTTCGAATTTGATGCGGGTTCTTCTCTCTCTCTCTATCTCTCTCTCTCTCTCTCTTTCTTTCGCTTTGCTTTGCTTGGGGTCAGCAGTCCTCCTGACTCTCTCTGTTCAGGCAGTTGCTTGCACAGGGCCCAAAGAAGCAGGGTAATTACAGTACCCATGGGCCCCATAGTAGTTCCTTCTTGTGGCTTATATTCAGGATCCTATTAGGGAGTCCCGATAAGGAACTACTATGGGGCCTATCGGTAGTTACCAATTTCAGAAGATCTCAAGTGAATCTAAAGCGGTGAGTCCGTTCCTGCCGAGCAGCATCAAGCAAACAAGAACGTCACACGAAGCGGCCCTGAACTGTAAAACCCTGAACCCTAAACCCCTAAACCCTAAACACTAAACCCTAAGCCTACAATAAGGCCAAAGCACCCCAGGGTTGCCAAGCCAGGCTCTTTCTTATCCTCCTTGCTAACCGAGCACAGAAGGCGAACATGAAGAGCCCTGCAAACTTCGTCACCTAACCGTACACAAAACTTCCTACTAAAACATTCGAAAGCCCTGCATAACCGTCGAAATCCCTTACTGTGCTAACAACCACACGAAGACCCTGCAAAGCCCACCGAATTCAAGCAAATTAAGGCATATGTGACACCGTCATGGCATTGGCACGACGATAGTTGCGGTAGCCGCCGACGCTGTTCAAATAGTTGGCCTCATGTGAGGTCGAGTTCGCCACACCACGAAAAGTAGATCAGCATTTTCAAATCAGAGACAAGTACGTTTGACAGACATCCCAGATACATCTCTTTTATGATGTAAGCCAGCTACGTCCCTGAACCGTCTGGGCCTTCAGGCATTGAACTTATGAGGCTACACCTGCTACGTGTTTGACCGACCCTTTGGCCGAGTAGCTCGAAGGCGGAGAAGAACAAACAAAACCCGAGCATGGAAATTTGCCTGGATCTAAACCCTAAACCCTAAACCCTAAACCCTAAACCCTAAACCCTAAACCGCCTCCCCCAGAAAAAGTTAAAGCTGCCTGCGCGAGACTCTGAGTCCTCACCTCAACGCAATGGAACTGGGGCCTCAGGAATACCTGTAGTCTCCATTGTAGTTCCTTTTTGGGGATACCTTATAAAATCCTTAATATATAATTGTGGTTAAACCAAAAAAAGGAACTACAATGGAGACTATAGGTAGTTGCTATGTGCTGGAGGGTGTCGGCTTAGGGTTTAGCGAGCCCGCATGGCAGGGCCTCAGCCTGTAGAGTTTGTGGTTTCGTTTACCGCTTGCGAACCCTATGACCACCTATAGCACTTCAAGGGGGGCACAGACCTGTCGCCCCCATCTGACAGATGGCGGCTTTATGCTATAAGCCTTGATCAAAAAACAGATCTTCAACACCCTGGTCCCCATAGACGCCTGCGGGGCACATCTTAACCCCACACCACGCCTTCACCCTCAATCCGAAACCTTGCCCGTAAACAGCTTCTTTCGGCAGAAGTGCCCCAAGGATGATTCCGCCGATGGGGCCCACCGTGATTACGATGCTGACCTCTGCCAGACAACAGGCTTTCGAGTTTACCTGTAGTCTCCATTGTAGTTCCTTTTTGGGGATACCTTATAAAATCCTTAATATGTAATTGGTTAAACCAAAAAAAGGAACTACAATGGAGACTATAGGTAGGGTTCATGGTCAGGTTCAGGGTTCCCGAACCACAGTCTTGATGAACCATCGGCGTCAGAGAGCAACGAATCGAATGTGCAAGGGGTTGTGGGCTCAGAACGTGAGGCGTTCTTTGAAGGAAGGTTCAGTGTCGAACGGGTCGAAAGGCCTCCCCTGCGGGCTTGCCCTTGGTGGAGGGAAGGGCAGGGGAGGCTCCCTTAGATTAGTTTCGACACGAGGCTGACCTGCACCAGAAACCTCGCCGGTATGAGTGTACCCCATCCCTCCAAGCAGTGTTAGAAACCCTCAGTCCCTGTGGACGTAACGGCCAAGCAGCGCTCATGAGCCACTCGTATTCGGCTACTCGGCGCTGCTTTACAGGACACAAGCGCGCGCCCGAACTTCGCTGTTCGACATTGCGGAATCCCGAAACGATTAAGTCTGAAACAGTCCTTGCCGTAAGCCCTGCCAAAGCACCACGATGGAGATGGTCTGGGCACTCCAGTGGAAGATTGCTCCCAGGGCTTGAGTAATGAAGTAGAGCCTTCGGTAGATGCTGGATCTGCATGTGCAGGCTACTATCAATTCCCCAACCACTACTGCTACTGCTCTGGCTGCTGTTACCAAAACCAACACTACCAGTCACTACCACCACTACTGCCACTACGACCACACCAGCACCCACCACCACCACCACCACTACCACGACCCTGGCCGCCACCACCACCACCACTACCACGACCCTGGCCGCCACCACCACCACGACTGAGACGACAACCACGACAACCACCACCACCACCAAGATCTTCAAGAAACCCACACACCCCACACCTTGACTCCAGACCTCCCACTTCATGCACTTAAACTTCGGAACTGCTACAAACCCAAACTCAAGATCTTGCCATAACTCTCAGTACGAACCCTCCAAGGCAGCAAATCAGTCCCGGGCCAAGCTCAGATAAAAGAACGTTTAGACTTCACCACATCCCGGTGTCACAGCATGGGGGCAAGGAGCATGAAGCCAACCGATCCAGACTGGAAGCATCCCGCCGCCAACGTGCAAAGGAACAGGCCCGAACGGCCCAGTGCCCTCAGTTCCTTCGGAACGAAGGACGTGTCGTGACCTGAGCTGGGAGGGAGGTTGATGGTCCTTGAACTCTACTTTTTCAGGCGCAATCCTTTGTTGAAAATGCTGTGGAGTCCATAGGTATCGAACTTGTCGGTGCCAAGATGGCTAAGCTGTGGCCAGAAAACCGCGAATCGGTTTAGGGTTTAGGGCTCTGCACAAATCCAGAACTAGTTGGTACCATATTCACCGACGTAACAGCCTCACAGCAAGTTGGTACGTAGTTGTTCGAACTCACAGCGACAAAGCTACAACACATCCACGCAAAAAAGAGCGACTGCAGATACCATTACCACCACCACCACCAGAACCACCACCACCAGAACCAGCATCACAATCACCATCGTTTCCGTTCATCATCGTCATCATCATCAGCAGCACCATCATCATTATGCCAGGCCGCCCGCGGCTACCTCCGTCACTGCGGCCTCTTCGGCCTCCTTCGCTGGCTCCGGCTCGCCAACCTCGCTTGAGGGTGTCTGTCGGCTTCCAGGGTGTGATGTATGTATGCATATATGTGAGGTATACATGTTTCTAAGTATATGAACAGACTTACATGTGAACATAGGAATATAAGTTTACATATGCATACATATACATATATATATATATATACATATACATACACACATATGTGTATATATATATATATATATATATATGGTGTGTGTGTGTGTGTAAGGGAACTATTGGACCGGTGGGCTGAGGAAACGCTTACTACCCAAGGACTTTGCATCAGCCGGTTGTCGCAGAAGCCAGTGCTCGGTAATAAGCAGAATAAGGTTTTGGGGCCCATTGTACTGTGATTGTAAACAGGAACCGCCAAGATAGTATTGGTAATTATTTCGGCCCCTATATTAGACTGCCCCGCGCCTACGCAAGGCCTCATGGGTCCCTCTAGGGGTTTACGTGAACTTGGACCGTGGGTTTCTCGGCAGGAATTTTGTGATTGATGGGGTTCGAGATTCATGTTGAGCTTGCTGGACCAAAGCACGAGTTTCGTGAGTAATTATGTGGGGAGTGCTATGCGCTGTATGGGGTGAACGTTCAACAGACAACAAAATCATACCAACTTAAAGCACACCACATGGGCATCCTCACCAGACCTTCGTGCAGCTTTTGCACCTGGACGACATCGCTCGCGAATCGGCTGCCGCAAATGCCACAGCCGAGCATGAGCAGGCCTGAACAGCACAGGATTCAGGAGACGCGAAGCCATTCCTGATAACTTCCACTTTCTACCACTAGGCTGAACAAAACATTTGGTAAGGCCAGGTGGTGACATCAAGAGCCGGATGTCAACCTGATGCTTTCGTGGCATATGCTGCTTTCGGACTTTAGGCTTCAGGGCGCAGGCTGGCTAAGGAAAGCTGTGAGGTTCAAAGTTTAGCTTGAAATCCTTCCTCCTTCCTGTCGGTGCCGGTTTGTCTGGTTCACCGCTCCCACAGCCATATGAAAGTGAGCATAAATCGATGGCGGTCACGAGGATGGCGCCTCTCGCCGTCCCAGGGCAGCACCAAGATCCAGAAAACCAAGACAGTCACCAGTATCGCCACCCTAACCGAATAAATTCTGTGATTGTGGGCGCGCTCCAGACATCGTCATCGTCATCGTCATCATCATCATCATCGTCATTCATAACCACATGTTATTCAGCATCTTTCTCATCTTCATCTTTGTATTTATAGTTTCGGCTGGTGTTCCCGCAAACGCGCATCCAGAAACAACAACGGCCGGCGGATTCCGGCTCCAACCCCGCCCACCCCCCATCCCCGTGACTGTCCCATGCTTGTTACATGCTTGCGGGATCGAGGTCGAAAACACCTATCACAGGGATGATTCCGGCTCCTAGCCCCTTATCCCTCTGACTGTTGCCATTTGTGGGACGTCATTGCCAGGCGTGGGTGCGCAACTACGCTCTCCACCAGCCTGACAAGATAACCAGATAATCTCTGTGTGGGTATCAGCGTATCTGCGCGAGGGCAGATTATGCTTGCATATGCGCGGTTTCCGGAATCGCACAGCCGCACAAGGCAAGCAAAGCTTTGGGACGAAGTGTCCAACTACTTCGGATTCCATGGCTGGCGAAGCTTTCCGAACAAACTCAGCAACAGCATGTCTAAAATTTGAAAGCCGGATTCCAAACCCTAAATCCTAAACCCTAAGACTTAACATTTGAAAGCCGGATTCGGGTTTTCGGGTGAAGGGTTCTAGGTCCCCGCATATGCCGTCGAGATGCAAACGGAAAGGCCAACTTCCGAACCCGAGACCCAGAAGCAAGAGCCCCTTGTCGCAGGAAGCAGCAAAACTCCACAACCACTCAACTTCCTAAACCCTCTAATGTAGGGGCCGAAATAAATTACCAATACTGTTCTCTTTGTTTTTTTTTTGGGGGGGTGGGTCCTTAATATATTTATAGTATAGTGGGCCCCAAAACCCGATTTTAACTATTAACGTCCCTATATTACGCAAAATACGAAATAAACCCACCCACCCTAACCCCCATAGCACCTGTCAGATGTCCTCTGAAAGTTACAAGAAGCTTGAAACATGTCCTAAGCACTGCCTGCCTTCCATGAGGTACAGAAACTCCCAGCTGGCAGCCCCCGTTGCACGCGAGAGGCCTCCGACTACCTTGCAGTCTTCTTCACATCGTCAGCTCAGCGTACTTTCTGTCACTTGTCGGCTTTGCGATTTGGTTTCTGGCAACGTGTCTTCGTGCTTGTAAGTGCCGTCGTTCAGATTTTGTTTGGGCCTTCTGGGAATCGAACATCTGGTGCCTGTATTTAAAGTTTAGGGCGGCAGCCCTCATAGGGGTCTGCATAGCTGTTGGCGCGTGCCCCTGCACTCCTTGTAGAAGTATGCCATGTTATACAGGAACGTAAACCTAATCCAATTCTGCAGCCCCCAGGGTTTTCACATTCTACGAACTCCTAGGCAACCTGATTCCAACCGTTGTCGCCGCGTATCTGGCGATGCTTAGTTCAAAGAGCTGGGTTTCTTTGGCTCCCCCCTCGGCACTCTAGCCCCAGTTGGACAGCGCTCATTTAAGGGGAACGCCCGTTGAGTGCGGAGCTTTGGTTGAGGCTGTTCTTCGCGATCATTCTTCCGACAAATCCGTGCTATGGAGCGGCCTTGTAGGCTGGACTAGTCTGGCACATATTATACTGTATTACCATACCATACTAGACTATGCTATACTATACTGTATTATACTGCACGATACTATACTATGTACACTGTACTGTTTAACCCACTGCAAAAGAATGAAATACCATGTACAATGATATTCTACTACAACCAAGTATAATCTGAATATAGTCCAGTATATACTACAAGGGTGTATTTTTTCAACGTGACATAGTATGGCCTAGTATAGTATGGTGCAGTATAGTGTAGTATATATACAGTGTAGTATAGTGTAGTATAGTATCATATAGTACAGTATAGTATAGTATAGCAACGTAAAAAAGAACTACGTGGCAACACCTGCTATAATAGACTATGATAAAGTTTAAGTTAACATAATGTAACATCAAATAAACTACAGAGGAAATCAGATACTGCAAGACAATATAGCATAGTGCAATGTGATTTAAGGTAACATAACATAATACATCAGAACTGAATGTAACATACTAATTTCACATAATATAACATATAGCGAAATAACACAGTATGAAACAACACAATAGCAACATGTAATAGAACGTGACATAATATAACATATTAATAGTGTAATATAATTTCAAATAATACAATGTGATATGTATACTATAATACAATATATGATAAGACAAGATAAGATAAGATAAGATATAAGATAAGATAAGGTAATATAGGGTCAGATAAGATACTGTAAGGCAAGATAAGATAAAAAATATATATATATATAACACTATAGATCTAACCGAGCCTAACAGAACATCATGACATAGCAGACCATACCATATCATTTCAATTCATTTCATAGCACATCATATCATGAAATTGATTGCTTCCAGTCCCGAATGGCTCAGACATGTACTAAAGACTCAAGCGTTACAATTCGACACTCCTCGGAACAACAACAGACCACAAGAACCACGAAGACTGTTCCAGGTCCAAGGCAACCAAGCAAAACACGATTCTCAGGGCGGGGCATAGCCGCTCACGATCCCCGTGAGGAGCATGGCATTGATCCCTGCCATCCACAGGGTGCGCTTGTCAGCGGGTCCATACCTGCGCTGCTTCAAGGGCTTTATTAGGGCTGTATCGGGTGTAAGCAGAGGTTTCGCAAAGCATTTTGCAAGCCCCCCCCCTCTAAACTGTAAAACAGCATTTTTTCGTGCATCCGATAGAGCCCTTTTATACGAATACCCCGAATTGTAAGGTTTGAGGGTCACCGGGTTTGGGCTTTCGGGGATGCTTCTACAAAGAGCATTTGGATGAGTTCCACTCGGCTTTGAGTTTCTGATGTAGTGGTTTTACGACGTTGTTTCCGTTCCGGGCTTTCAGTGTATAACTAAAGATGATGGGACTATGTAGTGAATAAGGAAAACAATGGCACTATGCATGCGGTCCAAGCTTCCGATTCACCCAAGTCGGATAGTGCACGGCTGCCAGACCCCAGCACAGTCCACCCAAGGCACGCGCAGCGATGAGTGTAGGCCTCACTGACAGGTCCACTCACGGAAAGCTGAGATTTACGCCGGAGTCGTACTGCTTCCTGTCTCAATTCTGCATAATGGCCAAAATCAATCTAAATGACGCCTTTGCTAACGTTTATGCCCAAAACCCCCCAGACACCTAGCTGAGGGACAGGGATAAGGTCAATCATCCCTGTGTCTTTCGACTTGAAGTTTCTGACTTAGACGTCAGCAGCGCGATCCGTGTGCCAGGAGCGACTGGATGTGTTTGTGGCCCAACTATGGAGTTTTCGGAAAACTCCGAGCCCTAGTAAAGGAATACTAAACCATACTAAACCCTAAACTCTCAACCCTAAACCCTCAACTCTAACCCTACACCCTAAATCCTCAACCCTAAACCCTCGACCAGAAACCCTCAACCAGAAACCCTCAACCCTTAACCCTAAACCGTGGTCATGCTTGAGGCCGGAGGCAGGCTGGGCCGGGAAGCGCAGAAGATCGATACCCCGGCGATGATGAAGTAGCCCGTCGTTAGCGCCTCACTGGCCGCACCGTCATTCTGTTACGGTTTACGGTTTAGGGCTTCAGGAGTTTAGGGTTGACCTGGGTGAACCCGATCTCTACATTCTTCCATGGTTTCGGCCCCGCAGTTTCCCAGTAACTCCCTTATATCCACACTTGTCACTTTGCTTGACTTGAGGGCTCGTGGGAGCTTAGAAGGCGGATGAAAAGCATGCTAGTTTTGGGCCGTGGGACTAAGACTGTTCTAGGTGTTGGTAAAATGGGCACAACTGCTTTACTTACACTCTCTCCGTTATTAGAGACAAAACATGTTCAAGCTCTTCGAGGTTCACACAGAAAAGGCACCCAAAAAGCCTGAAGTCTTCAGACACTTAGAGACTGATCTACTTAAACGTGACATTATAGCCATACAGTGCGTGGCCCCAAACCGTGAACCCCTAAAAAGCGGGCCATAGCAATTAGAACAGGGTTTCGGGGTCTTTTATAATATCATCATAGTGGGACTACAGGGCGATACTGTTATACTGCTACTGTACTTATTCCGACCTCTACCTATAGTCTCCATTGTAGTTCCTTTTTTTGGTTTAACCAAATATATATTCACGAGTTTATAAGGTATCCTCAAAAAGGAACTACAATGGAGACTATAGGTATATTCCTAAACCCTAACCCTGATCCCCAAAATACCTAAACCCCGAACCCCAAACCATCGCGCGCTTTTCTCCGGAGCTCGAGTCCGAGCTTGCAAGCTGCTAGTGATCCTTGGTCTACACCGGGAGCCCTCCACTCAACGTACTTTGGGTGTAGGGTTTAGGTTTAGGGTTTAGGGTTTAGGGTTTAGGGAACCCTAAACCCTAAACTCTAAACCGTAGTTTACGATGTGGGGGTTCGGCTTCGTGCGTTTAGGGATTAGGGTCTTCAGGGTTCAGGGTTTTCGGTTTGGGTAGCCTGACGAGGCTTTCTTGGTGAGGGGTCGAGGCACAGACCACCGAGTAAAATTAAGTGATCGAGGACTCGTGCCATCTCGTCAGGAGAGATCTAACCAGAAAAGTGCCCTCGCGTGCTCTCTTGCAAAACTAGCTTCCTAACACCCCCAAAAGCCGACAAGCCACGCCAACAAAAATAAACAGCTTCGTAAACTCTCCTTTACCCCTTCAATCCTAGGGTTGAGAGCCGAGACTCTTGGGCTTGAAAAACCGAATGGAACCCTTGGAAGGTTCAAGAGACTTCTCAAAGAGCCCTGGAAGAACCAGTTTTAAAAACAGATCCCAACCTTATTACTTATAGAGCCCAGGGAAGCCCAGAGAAAATAGATTCCTCAGAGACGAGGCCTGGCGGAACCCTGCTTGAACTCTGCAGAACCCTCATAGGAGGCCACAGACACCCGACTGGAAACCTTAAAACCTGCAAAAACCTCTTCCCTAAACCCTAAACTTTCAGATGGCTATTCCCTAAACCCTAAACCCTATTCCCTAAACCCTGTTCCCTAGACCCTAAACTTTCAGATGGCCATTCCTCGACTCTTCAGCGCGAGGCCCCAAAGAGCTCAGAGGCCGCTTCCAGCGCCGGAGTAGGAGCCATAGAAGAAGACGGCCAACCTCACTGGCTCCCTGTTGGGGCTATATTAAAATGATCATGTTTAATCCTTATTGGATGTTTATTACAACAAGAATGAAACAATGTAGCCAATGAAGGAGCGAACCTCAGTGGACCAACAACCCAACATGTTCAAGACTTGAAGTGCTTGTGATGAGAATACTGATAAGTGTAAAAGAGCATAGAAGCCAAACTTCAAACCAAACCATTGCTCGTAGCAATAATCGTAAGTAATGCTTGAGTTCTGAAGCAGCAATGGTCACCAAGGCCTAGGCCGACCCAAACTCCACAAAAAGAAAGCTCGTGGCTTTCAACGACTAGGGAGTCAGGGCTTTGATCTTTCGGGTTTCAGTGTAATTCTCCCAGACTGCCGGTTTTCATAACCCGCACCAGACGAAGTTCTGAGATTAGGGGCTTAGATCTTAGGGCTTTGGGTGTTTCAAGCCTAAACCCAGGGGGTTTGGGGCATCCCTGGCCAAGGGATAAGGGAGCCTCTGGGTCGATGCACTAAGGCGGCTTGAGCTTCCAAACCTGGACCCCGAAATCTGCAAAAACTTGAAGATCGTATAATGAAATATCACTTCGTGTAAGAATGTAATATAATTAGTATCAAGTGTACTATAGTACGTGAGCATCCTATAAGAATGTCTATCCAGGCAGCTTTGCCGTTGCCAAGCCTTGACCTTGACTACACCTTCTGTCAGAAAACGCCTACCAAGCAATTGACTCGAAGTACTTGCAATGAGCTGCAAGCAGGGCGTTTATCAGAGGATGCTACAGTACAACTAGCAGGGTTGGTACGGAATACGACTGCTTCTTCGTGCGGATCCATCCTTGAGATCCACCCCGCCTTTCCAACCCTAAGCCTGCGGTTGGTTGTGCCCATGCAGCTTCGTAGCAAGCCCACAGCTGCAGTGCCGGCAAGTAGTCCGAGGAATACCAGAGGGAAGCGCGTTGGCTCACCGCCAGTGGCCGCCATGCTCACCTGACTCGATCAACGCTGGGAGAGAGCGAAGCTAGGCTTACATGACCCTGACTCAATTCCGCTGTTGGTCGGGATACCAACAGAACCCTGACCCTGTGATTAACCCTACGCCTTACATACAGCGGTTTCTCGCCCACAAGGCCGCCCCCCGTGCCTGGATGCTACGGCCTTCCTGCTGGACGTTGCCCTGGGCCAGCATCGATGGGTTCTCATTCAGGGACGCACCGCGCAAGGCCTGCGGAGCCACGAAGCCTCGGTCCAGATGCTGCCAAAGGGTCATATATATATATATATATACGAGTATATGTAATATATAATATATGTATGTATATATATATATATATATATATATATATATATTTTTAACATACTACAACTATACCATTACATATATATATATATATACATACTCCA